GTACTTGTTACAGGTCAGCTTTCCTCAGCTCTAGGAATTTATGTTTTATCAGGAGAGATCAATATCTAAGGGAGAAATGACTAGAATTTTAAATTCCACAGAAGGTGCATTGCGAAGGCCCTGTGGAAGCACAGAGTAGGGTCATTTGGACCAGGACATGGGACAGCCCTTAAGCCCTCAAGATGTATCCTCCTATTCTTGTTTTCGGTTTTTTAGAGACGTTTCATTTCTGGCATTGAATTTAGCCATACTTATAAATATTTCCTTTTCTTTGTTGAGACGTGCAGATTTTGAAGTTAGTCTTAAGGTGGAAGATTTTCCATTTCTCAATCAGTGGAATAGATTGCTCTCTTTTTGGCAGCATTGTCTTTTGTATTCCTAACATGGGAGTGTGGTGGTCCATAGGAGGGCACCGTGTGGCTTGGTAGAATGACATGGCCTGTTGTTTGCTGATGGCTTTCCTCATGACTGCTCACCCTCAAGCTCGTTGGCCTTTTAGTGAGAGGCATGCTCATGATGAGTGGAAACTGTTGATGAGTCAGCGAGAGTTATGTGACTGTGTTATCGGATAGTTATGTGGAACATCAGTCAGTGGAAATAGGAGCAGCTTTAAGAACACAGCCGTGTTGGGAGGTAAATCAGATCTGGTGTTAGAATGTTTTTGGTTGTGAATTATGGAAAACAGGAACTTGAACGAGCAGAGGTTTGTCACTCCTAACATGAACCTAAGCAATTTTGGGGCGGGGGGGTGTGTGGTATGTAGCATCTCAGCAATGCCACCAGAGAACCAGGTTCTTTCTTTCTTTCTACTCTTTTTTTTGTCTGCCTTTTGTTCTCATGGTTGTGAGATGGCTCTACACCTCCCAGTAGCTTTTCCCAAGAAAGAGCGAAGGGACTGTGTTCATATAATGAGAACACACTTTCTCAGAGCCCGTCCTCTTGTATCTCATTGGTCTGACCTGCATCCCATGGCTTACCCCTAGCTGCAAGGGAGTCTGGGGAACAAACCATTTTAGCCTGGCTTATTGCCACCTACAAGCAAATCAAGGTTATGTGTGTTGGTTAGACAAACAGCCATGACTCCTCTATCTGAGGATTTGATTTGATTTGATTTGATTTGATTTTAGTCATTTCTAATGACCTTAAGTCATGATTTGGTGAGCATTAATTGCCACCTCGTTAATGCATTTATTTGACAAATATTTATTAAATGCACAATTAAATGCCATTCCTAATTTAATAAAATATGAAAAATATCTGAGTATGGATGTAAGCTAATGGCAGTTTCTTTTAGCTTATGTAGTAAACCACTGGAACTGTGATTTTCAAAATTTTTTTTTATTTTTTAAGATTTTATTTTTATTTATTTGACAGAGAGATAGAGAGTACAAGCAGGGAGAGCAGCAGGCAGAGGGAGAGGGAGAAGCAGGCTCCCCGCTGAGCAAGGAGCCCGATGTGGGGCTTGATTCCAGGACTCTGGGATCATGACCTGAGCCGAAGGCAGTTGCTTAACCAACTGAGCCACCCAGGTGCCCCTGGAACTGTGATTTTCAAATTGAAAACAAGTGAATTTTGTTTAGCTGACCTCCATCATGCAACTCGTTCATAATTATTACCCACATACTCCCCTTCTCTAACCCTTGATCCTTTTGCCAATATATTTGGAAAGCTGCCTTGTAAGTCTGAGTTGTTCTGGTTTTCCCATAATACTCCCTTTTCCAGCTTTTATATGCTTATCCATTAAGTCAGACAAATTTCCTTTTCAGAATTTGGCATTGTTTCTTTATTGGAAAGGAAACATTGTTTTAGGCCAGGAAAACTTGAAAAAGAAAATAGAAAACCATCAGCTACTTTAAAAAAAAAGATCAAATCTCATGTTAGGATTTAATGTTGGTCTTGTGCTGTTCTGTTTAGAGGGAACCAAGGTTGGTTCTTGCCCCTGGTTTATCTTTGAAGAAGTCTTGGCAAAGCTTTACACATGCTCTTTCCCCAAACCATGACATAAATCCCGCTTTTTAATTTATGTCCAGTGTCAGATTTCCAATAGTGGTGTCTGGCAGGGTCAGTAAATCAAATTCTGAGGCTGTGAGGATGATTTTACTTGGTATGTGACATCCCCTGCTTATTGTGAAAGCTGGGCACTAGCCTCATATGACCCCTCCCAGTCTCTTTCAAATTCTAGCCAAATTAGTGGTATTATCTAGAGAGTGCCCATCTTTTGGCTGTCCCCCAGTGACAGATCACTCTGCTACGTAAGTGGGTTGCAGATCTGATAGTTTATATCTGTGATCCCAAAGTTTGCACCAATAAAGTCTCTCTCTCTCTCTCTTTTTAAATATTTATTTATTTATTTTTAGAGCGAGTGCAGGGGGGAGGAGCAGAGGGAGTGGGAGAGAGAGAAACTCAAGAAGACTTTGCGCTGAGCGCTCCATGTGGGGTTCAATCTCACAACCCTGAGACCACGACCTGAGCTGAACCAAGAGTGGGATGCTTAACCAACCAAGACACCCAGGTGCTCCACCCGCCCTTTTAATGATCCCCTCTTGGATCTCTTACTTAGAAAGATTTTAGTTCAGGGAATAGATCACATTGATATTAATTATAAGTCATCCATTTCCCTACTTTTAGGAATCAAAGGCACATTTAACGACCAACAATATCTGACAGTCATGAGAAAAGCAGTGTTTCTGTGTTTCTATCACTTAATTTAAAGCAGACATACTTGGAATAATAAAAAAAAAACGAGGAAGGTAGGTATTGTTATTCGGCAATTGAAATATTGAAAAGAGCTTCAAGGCCATTATCACTTCCTTTATAAAACCATAACTGTAGGCTGTGTATTTTTTCTAGTGTGATGTTTCATTTTAAAATTTTTTGCTTATTTCCCTAGTTATTTCTCCTTTGTGTTGAAGGGTGTTTGGAAAACAGGAAGGTTGTGATATTTATGATCTGTGCATTTTTCTCTCTCTCTTTTTCACACACAACTTTCATTGGATGACCATCTTTTAAGTTTTTGTTATGGAAAAATTTAAATATAACCGAAAAGCAGAGCAGACACTATAATGACCTTTCATGCATCCTTCATTAAGCTACAACAAATTCACGGACACTTGTTCCATCTGTTACCTCTCCTTGTCCACAACCCTGACTGGATTGTTTCAAAGCAAATTCTAGATATCTTCTTATTTCTGGATGGCCCGTTATAAACTGAAGATCTATGAAGAGCTGCATACCTGTTGTTAGTGGGCCATTGATTATGATTTGGCTCAGCGTGTGCATGTTGAACTGTGTTTCTGAATCAGCCATCAGTTTGTCTTGGCTTTTTGGTCATTGTCGTTAGCCGAATTTACCGGCACCTGTAATTTCAGAAAATAGAATGGACCGCTGTTACCCTAACTGTAGGGCGTTGGCTGTGAGAGAGCCAAAGTCATGCATGCTGGCTCTGAAGTGGAGAGAAGCAGGAGAGACAAGGCCCCTGATGCTGGCTGACTTTGGGGAGTCCATGCAGGGAATTGGTGTTGCTTTGAAGGAGAGAAGTTCTGGAGCTAAGTGTGACCAAGATGCTTGTACTCAGGAAGGGGCTGTGCAGGTGTGGCTGGGGTTGCAGGATTCACATGCCTTTCAGTAAGGTGCTGGGAGAATTTCTTCCTTTACATTTACTTTAGGGTTAGAGATGGATTTTATTGTCAGAAAAGAAGGTGGCAGCTGAAGCAAGCACAAGCTAATCTAGGGAGTCCCCATCTGATCTGTGTGTGTGTGTGTGTGTGTATGTGTGAGATTCCATTTATTCCGGAGTGGGATCTCCATGAATTAATGCATTGGTAGTAATTTCAAATTCTTGGAGCTCTTTCGAGTTAGAAATTGTGGTCCTTGTTTTTCAATCTACACATCATTATCCCTGCTGGAAGTTAAATTACTTTACACATGGAATCTAACATATCAGGGTCAGAGTCACGATTACAGTCTTTTTTTCTTTTTTTTTAAGATTTTATTTATTTATTTGACTCAGAGAGAGAGAGAGAGCGAGAGAGGGAACACAAGCATGGGGAGTGGGAGAGGGAGAAGCAGGCTTCCTGTTGAGCAGGGAGCCCGATGCAGAGCTCGATCCCAGAACCCTGGGATCATGACCTGAGCTGAAGGAAGACACTTAACGACTGAGCCACCCAGGCGCCCCCACAATTACACTCCGTGGACAGTATTCCATGGGCTGTTTTAATTAGATTTGGTAGAAACAGTTTATAGGAGTCGATGATTAACTTATATTAAACTATAAACCATTTCCTTATTTGGGCTTGAGTATATAAAGTTAAAATATTAGAATAATTTAATGTATGCCAACAAGTAATTTTGAAAGGAAAAGTCATATTTAGTATTTATTAGGGACTAGCAGATTTCGATGTCAATTATTTATTGAAAACAATAAATGTGAAATAAAATCAGAGAGATCTTATTTTGATTCATTTTCCTTTATATATTTTTCTTGATCCAGAAGTCTTAGCCAAGAAAAATCGAGCCCGTAAATATGGCTTATTAGCTAGGACAATTAAAAAATATACAATAGGAGGTAACAGCTGCTTATAGTTTTGTTACCTTCTGTTACCTACACAGGCTCTTACAACTTCTTTACCTCATTTCCCCCCTGGAAAAATAGAAACAGGAGTGGAATTTTATTCATTTACTTCATGGAATAAAAGTATTGAGTATATGTCATTGGGATAAGTAAATGCTTCAGTTCTAATTTTGAAAAATTCCTGTTTATTTTGATCTGTTTCCATTTGATTTTGTTCATTTGCTCCTTATAAATCAAATCATTGGAATCAAAATCTTTACTGAGATGGAAACAAAGAAATATTTTAAGTCTAACTTCAGAAATTTCTATTTGTTTGATATTATAAATGAAACCATACCATGAGAAAATGAGAGTGCTATGGTCTTCAAAGCTCACCTTCGCTACTTTCTGTTATTAGTTGGATAATCTTTCTTCTTTTCCATGCCTATAGGAAAAGACATTACGGAATCCTGAAACGTGATCTTCCTTAAAAAGGTAGGTGTATGTGCTTTTTAAAATTAATTTGTGATGTTTTAAAAAATTTTATCTTGAGTAAATTACAACCCGAGACTACTTAATCAAGAAGCAATTTTTATGCTGCTAATGCATGCCATTGTGCATTGAATTAAAACCTCAGATTCAGCTTCCTAAATTCAATACTGAATTTCCCAGTCTTTTTAAAGCATATCTATTTTGAGCGAATTGTTGATGTCTATAACAGTCAGTGCATGTGAAGTGTAATAAGTGAATGTCTCTCATTTTAAAAATTGAAAGAGATTAATTTCCGCCTATCTTGGCGAAATATATTCCTCTTTTTTCAGTGGGTGACTTCGTTCTAGAAAGCCCAGGGAGCTTAGAAGAATAAAATGGTCTATGGCTCAAGTTGTGCTATCTCATGTTTTTTTCTATGAGATTTCTTTTTCAGAGCGTGGACTGTGGTTTGCATGATACTTTGTTAGACCTTGCTCTTCTTTGAAGCTAGAATGATAATTGGGCTTAACTGCAGCATAAATAATTTACATTATGCATCTTGATACTTTGCAGCTGTAACCAAGTTGTGGGCATTCTTAGGTTTATGGAGCCTCCTGTAATCTGTAGAGTCTCTGAGAGGTTTCTAGATTTCATGGACTGAGCTCTGAGCCTAGTGGTTGCTGTTGTTTTCATCCAATACCTTTTACTCTCTAATGTGGACCAACATCAGCCGGCCCTCCTGTTCTAAAAGGTGTGCTCGGGGACTTTGATTCTGAGGAGAGCGGTGGGTCCCAAGAGGTCCTTGAACACATGAGTGTTATGGTGGGGCCTGATGGGGCTGTCACCCCAAAACACAGGATCTCCTCAGAGATTTTAGGATGTTTCAAGATCACAGAGGTCAAACCTGACATTGCCATTCTATTTTCCCTTCAGTTTCCTCCCAAATTATAAGATTTTAGCTGTTCAGTCATTTCTGGGCAGAGAGGTTATGGTGTAGAAACATTTTCCCCATTTTATAATCAAGATTTTATTTATTTGAGAGAGAGAGAGAGAGCCCACACGAGCAGGGGGGAGGGGTAGACGGAGAGGGAGAACAGACTCCCTGTTGAGCAGGGAGCCCGATGTGGGACTTGATCCCAGGACCCTGAGATCATGACCTGAGCTGAAGGCAGACGCTTAACTGACTGAGCCACCCAGGTGCCCCTATAATCAAGATTTTTAATATTGATGGGGTCTTTCTTCATCCTTCCATCCATTTCACAAAAGTGACTTTTCACCCCCAGCTTAAAATGAACTTGTCCAGAACATGGCCAGCTCCAGCCTGGGAACCGCTCAGTAAACACTTGCTTTAATTTTTTCCCTCACATTATTTCTTCAGATTTTGGCTTTCAAGTTGACACAGAGAAACAAGTTAATCACAGGGAGTGAGTATACTTTCTGACAAAGTGATGATAGGAAGAGAGCTGATGAACATCATCTACCTGTTGAGTTGTAACAGTACACTTTTAGGAAATCCAGATTGTTGGACCTTGATCTTTTTTGAAGTTAGCATGATAATTGGGCTTAACTACAGCATAAATAATCTATATTATACATCTGCTACCAGATATATATTGAAAAAATTTGACTTCCAAGCGTTGGAAAGGTGCTTTTTCTTTCTCCAATACCAATCCAAATCCCCTCTTGTGAACCAAGACCCTCATTTGTGTAATATATCATCACAGATCTGCTGGCTACTTAGGATGATGCATCTTTAGAAGAGGGCTCCTAACCTGTGTGGTTCATAGAGCCCAGGAGGCTGGGGGATATTGTAAGACGTGCTGGAATCCATGGCAATATCAAGGATTGCTCACATATTAAATCTATACTGTCTCCCCTGTTTATGGATATTTGACAACTCTATATAGCTGCTACTGTTTTGAGGAAATATGCATGAATATAAAGTATTACTTAAGAGAAGCTTTTTACTATAATGGATTTTCTTAATAGGAGTTCAAGAGCCACTACTATACATGGTTAATAACTTGTTTTGACATTAAAATGGGTCACCATAATCAGAGACATTGAGAACTGTTGTTTTAGAACATAGTGAAGGCATCTAAATTAGGTTAGGATTGAGCCCAGGATCTAACCACAAATGTTCTTCAATAGTTATGGGAAAGAAATACCCACTTTTTTTTTTTTTTTTAATATTAGATCAGGTTATTTGAGGCAATGGATTGGTTAGACACCACCAGAAAGGCTAGTCTTGCACTTTCCATGCCATAGCCAGAAGCCACATGTTGCTGTTTAAATGTAAATTTTAATTGAGAAAATTAAAAATTGAGTTCATCATTCACAGTAGCCATGGTTTAAGTGCTTAATGGCCACATGTGGCAAGAGGCTATATCCTGGACAGCACATAGATAGAACATTTCCATGATCACAGAAAGTTTTTTAGACTCTGCTGGATACGATTGTCTATACTTTTAGTAGCTTTGCCCCTGAGGTCCTGGCATTGGATGGAGAAGACAGAGCCTGGTTTGCCTCATAGAATCGTGGAGAACTTTATGGACACGAGTTCCCTTATGCATGAGTGGAAACGAAAATTGTTTTCCCCATAATCTTTTTCCAGTTCTCTCTCTCATGACAGCCCCCATCCCGTGACCGGTGGCATTTGATTTGTTAATGTTTTATTGTGTCTTCGGTAGACCTTTGTCACCATTTGGGCTGCCTGCCATCTGAATCCTTTCCCTAAATTTGGGGGAATCCGTCATTGTATGAAGGCGGGTGGGTTGAGAGTGCCCTGTTCCTCTTCATTTCCCAAAGAAAAACGCCCACATTTGTGTTTTTCCTGACTTGTGCCAGCTATCAGGAGCACTTAAGGTCTGGCAAGCGTGGCACTGTGCCTTGGGAGTGATAACTCAGAGGGGCAGACGGTGCTTTAGAATTCCGCCCATTACTGGTACAAGCAGCGGCTTTGGTGGCTGTGGACAGAGCCAGCCGGAGTGACCGGGACCTGTGGCTTTGGTGGTATGTAGTTCGGCTGTGGTGAACAAAAGAGAAATACTAAGGAAAACAGCTTTTCTGCGTATGTAAGTAGCCGAGAGTAGCTTCACCTTTTCCACCTGACATCCTCCTCTACATGGAATCATAACAACAGTATAACAAAAGAAAATCAAGAGAACGAGAAATCAGCGATTCCTTAAATTGGCCATAACACAAGTAAGATATTCGATACTCTTTTATGGAAAGAAACACTTTCATTACTGGTAAGTAGAAGGCTGCATATTTAAGAATTATGGACACCCTCCTTTGGATTAGTAAAGGGACAACTCTTTTCCTTTTTTTATTTTTTGGTAGAGATTGGTGTTTTTTTTTTTTTTTTGAAAGATTTTATTTATTTATTTGAGACAGAATGAGAGAGAGAGAGAGCACGTGAGAGGGGGGAGGGTCAGAGGGAGAAGCAGGCTCCCTGCCGAGCAGGAAGCCCGATGCGGGACTCGATCCAGGGACTCCAGGATCATGACCTGAGCCGAAGGCAGTCGCTTAACCAACTGAGCCACCCAGGCGCCCGGTAGAGATTGGTGTTTATAATTCTGTTTCTTCCTGAGAACCTACTTGAAACCGTTGCCTGTGAACAATCATAACAGTTTTGCTTCTTGCCCCCTGGGTTGATTGGCCTGTTTTACTTGTTTTCCAGAATAAGAAGGCTGTGGCACGTTGTTGTACATTGTGCTGGAGCATGTAGTCTGTTCTTCTGGGTGCTGCTTCCCCACTTCCATGCACACAGCATTCTGTGAGACCATCTCTGTCATCCTGGGCAAGGCTTCTAAGAAACCCCATGCTCTGTCTTCCTTCTTCCTCTGCTTGGATCTAGATGACCATGAACCATAGTGGATGTTGGGGAGACAGGATTGAAAAAACTGGGTCTATATGGCCACCTGAAAGAGGGCTCTTCCCCAACCAGGAAGACCCACATATTCTTCAAAGAACATCTTTTTTTTTTTTTTTGTAAGTTTTTATTTATTTAAGTTATCTGTATATCCAGTGTGGGGCTCGAACTCAGGACCCCGAGATCAAGAGTTGCGTGCTCTTCCAACTGAGCCAGCCAGGTGTCTCTTGAATAGAAATCAATGGCAATATTTGCAGTCTTTCTCAGTAATAACTCTATGCAATAGAAGAGGGAGCATAAATTACATGAACATGATGGAGAGAGAGAGAGAGAGAAAGAGGGAGAGAGAAAATTAAACTTCTGTTGTGTTGAGCCTTTATGCATTTTTGGATCTATTTGTTACAAAAGCTGATATTACTCATAGTACACCCTCATTCAGCACATAAATCTCATCAGTTATTACCTGGCAATTCTGTTTTTAGTTACCCTTTATCTGGAACCTACTGCTACCACTGTTAGCATGGGTTCTATGTGTAGTCACAATGAGGCTGTGGAAGAAGCTAGGCACATGTTTTCCTATATTGCCTCATCCTCAGGTAGGACCTCAGATAGACCTCAGAGCTAGAGGGGAGCTTGATGCCTCCTTGGAGAAACAGTTTGCCAGTTTTGTAAAATGTAGATGCAGCATTTTGAGTGACTTCTTAGCCGTGAAGTTTGTGGTGCATGAGTGTCCAAGTTCACTGACTAAGTTTAGGTTCATAAATGTGTGGAAAATCTTTGACAGTCTTATTAGAAAGCATTTTCCAGGCTGAAGGGTTTCATGTAGGCTGTAGAGGAAGACAGTGAAGGTGGAAAGGATGCTATGAAATTATCTTAGATTAAAACAGCAGAAGAAAGCATGTGATGTTCATTCAAAAGTCTCAAATATGGTGGTTCAAGAGATTATCCATTTTATGTTTGGCATCATGTGTGAATGATTGGTTGTCAGAGATGAGGTATAAGGGGCTTAATGTTTCTGCTTTGTAGTTTACTGTGTATTAGCTAATAATATTTTCCTCTTCTAAAATGTGGAAATAGCAACTGTGTACTTGTGAGGTTATTAATAGAGGTTTTATTCATGCTAATATATTTGAAATGTTTTGAGTCCTTT